TCCACAACTTCCAGTACCTCTCCCTGAATTGTAAGGGGCGTGTTCAGTGACTGCACGTTCACGAGCATGACCTTAATCTTTGTGGATGCAAAGTACATACCAAAGGACGGGATGACTTTGGTCAGTTCACCTAAGAATACTTGCGTCTTCTCATCCTCTTCGAACGTGAGAACGATGTCGTCTGCATATTCCAGATCGACAAGGAAGAGAATATGCAAGTCTAGAATCGAGGAGATTGGGTCAGTGGGTCGAGTAAGTTACGTCACCTGTGGAATAGAATTGCTTAAGTTCAAAGTTTGCACAAGCTACTGTTGAGCGTAGAAGTATAGATCACATGGCCTCGGCAATCGATAACCGTCTGGGTCATTCGATACATAACTTGGAGAACGTATTCTGTCTATTTTGTCGTCGATCTTGGTCATACGTGATTCATCTGAACATGAGCTACATTTGATGAATATATCCATCGAATGAGAACTGCTGCAGTGGGATTTCCAATATCCCCAGTTTTAGCTAATATTTACATGGAGGACTTCGAACAACCAGCCTTGGCCGGATATCATTGTCCACCCAAAGTTTTTTGGCGTTATGTTGACGACACGTTTGTTTTAATCAAACGAGACAACGTAAGCAGCTTCCACGACTGTCTCAATAGCTTAAACTCACACATTAAGTTTAGCATGGAGATAGAGTCACATCGGGCACATAACCCTTTCTGGACTCTATAACACATAAGGTTGTTGGGAAATTGAAAACGACTGTCTACCAGAAACCAACAGACACGGGAACCGTCTTAAGCTATTCATCAGCACACCCAAAATCCGTGTACGCCAGCATTCTCTCATCGATGTTTCGTCGAGTTAGAGCGCTGTGCAGAGAAGAGATCGACCGGACGGCAGCTCAAATCGAGATTGCCAACAAACTTCAAGAAATAGGATACCCAGTGAGTTTGATTAGGCCTCAACTAAGAAAGATATTGGCTCCAGTATCTAGACACCGTACGGAATGGATTAGCACAGCAGTCATTCCATATAAAGCAGGAAAATCGGAGGTTATTCGAAGATTGTTGAATTTGGCCAACATTCGAGTAGCTTTTCAGAAGGGAAAAACGCTACGCTCAGTTTTGGTGCAATTGAAAGATCCCCTGTCGCCTGAAATGACTAGGGACTGTGTGTACAAAATTAACTGCAACGATTGCGCTAAGGTTTATGTACGACAAACTGCCAGGGAATTGCACACCAAAATTGGTGAGCACAAAAGAAGGATTAACAAACCACCAAGGAATGCAGAATAATACCAAACGCTGGTCAAAGACTCAGCGATGGCGATACATGTCTTAGACACGGGACATAGAATAGACCTGGAGAATGTGGAAGTTTTAAGACGGGGACTGCGATTCACACCACAGCGGCTGATAGCCGAGGCGGTGGAAATCACTAAGCATCACAGCGTGAATAGAATCGAGGGTGTGGAGCTAGCGAGCGTATGGAGAGCGGTCTTAGATAAGCCGAGTTGACACGTGACTGTGTGGTTGTCAATCCACGTAGGATCATTAGAAAAAACCGGGGGGTAGGGGTGGAAACCCCAACCGACTAAAGGTCACAGCATCCCTCCTACACAACTTTCTTAGCACTAGCTCAGCCACACAGACTGACAGAAGGTTCAAACGAATTTCAAGAGGAACCATCAAATGAACCGAACCAGAAGAACTAGAGCCTAGGCTGGACCCAGACAAATGTAGGTTGCCCCACCGACCCAACACTTGTTCAACCACTCTAACACACTAAAATCCATCGACCGACACAGAGAGACAGACCCAGCAGAGATTTTGTTTGACTTGGTTGATTGGTTCTCCTTCCGCCTTAAATCTCCACCTACCTCGGAACCTAGTCACTTGGCCTGACGAGGCTTTTGTGTCAAAAGCGAAACGTTGTCCAGCAATGAATCTACCGATTGTCACCAAACTTTTCCGAAAACGATGACAGAAATTAGATTCTAGCGTTTTCTGACTGCCTAAACGAATAAATTGAGCGCATTTCACCAACCATCCACAAGAGTATCGTCATGCCTATCCTGAACATTTTCGGTTCTCCCCATCAATCATCGGCTAAATCACTGGCTTGTTCGCTGAAACCAACCAGAGGTTGTCAACTCACCGCTTGAAAGAAACGTCCAAGTTAGTTAACCACATCAAAGATTTAAGGGTCGATAATCACCACGTGATATCCCTCGACTGATTGTGATGCGCTACAGCAAGATCTGCAAGGAATCGACGAATGGTCCATCCAAAACCGGCTGCCGCTGAATTTCCAGAAATGCAAACTCATAAATCTGGGGAAGAGCTACCACTTCCCATACAAACTGGGATCCAATGAACTGGAATGGGTGGCTGAGGAAAAAGACCTCGGCGTCTAGATTTCTAGCAACCTGAAGCCGAGTAAACACTGTCTATCAGTATATCGCAAGACCTCGGCACTGCTCGGGATGCTTAGGAGAATATTTCATCGTTTTACGCCTGAAATTCTCCCTATTATCATGAACACATATCTCCGGCCGACAATGGAATACGCGATCCAAGCCTGGTCTCCATGGCTGCAAAAGGATACACAACTGCTAGAGCGTATCTACCACCAAGAGACCGAGCTGGTCATTGGCCTCCGAAACGTTCCCTACAGTGAAAAGCTACGTAAACTCGATTTGTTTGATTTAACTTATCGGCGTATACGAGGAGACCTCATCCTGATGTTCAAGATAATAAACACCCCTAATCACCCTTTAAAACATTTGTTCACAGTTAATTTGGCCCGACAGACCCGACGGAATCCATTGGCCGTTGACATTCCATGTTCCCGCATTAACTGTCCGCGCTACTTTTTTTCAGTCCGCGTATCCCTCACGTGGAACAAACTACCAACATCTGTTGTGGATTGTGATAACCTCGAGACTTTCAAGCATTCGCTTGAACTTTGCGTCCTTGTTTACCACTCACCGAAACAAGGCGGTTAGTGAATTTACTGAGTACAGTACAGCAAGGCCGTTGGCATGCTCATCCTGGGCCTCAAATAACCACCACGACTTCGCAGAAGAAATTATCACTGTCAACAGAAACACAGAATCGCTTTTATGTTCTCTCTCGGCAGATTTATTCCTGAAAAAACTTGAGAATCAACAGCTAATTGTACTCACCGGGTGGGTTGCACTGTCTAGATAGCTAAATTTCTCCAGTGTGAACAAAGCTGGTGGGACTATACAGCACAAAGTCCACAGGAAGCAAACTTGGACATACTAATATACTCGACATTCCAGCTTTATTCTATTGCGAGGGAAGCGGAATATGGTTATATGTTAGGCTGAGAAAGCCTGGAACATGTGTTCATACAAAACGTTCCTGTTAGAGGCTAAGTAATCCACGAGGATGACCTTGAGAGCACTTGATGGGGGAAAAGCGTGTCTACGTCAACCTACTATTCAAGAGCTAAGCTAGTTACCAGAAAGCTAAGGTCTTCCACTACTGAGTTGGGCTTGGGTTTTAGTTATAGTCCGTGTCAGGCTTCACTTAGAAAGACAAACGGCCAAGCTCTCCCAGAAGCCAGTGCTCGTACCATGCACTGCATAATTCCTTGTCAGAGAATACAACATACTCCAGTGGCCTCTGACTTGTGCTTCAAGGAGGCCTCGCTCACATGCAACTGCACTACATCTGAGCGAAGCCGACTACACTCTACCGAGCGACTCTGAGCCGCTACAATTCGGACTATTGTTGCAGAGACCATCGAAATTCGCCTAAATGAGCACAACTCTGTGCTCAAAATAATTTTGTACGGCAGCAGTAATACAAAACGATTTCAGTGCCCAGCTACCATTGAAGGGAAGAAGGCCTTCGCTGCGGAGTTATTAGAAAATGCCAACTGACCAGTTACAGACTGATAGACAGGGAAGCAAAACTCTCATTTGCATCTTATTTACAAAAACTGGATATGCATCTCCTCCTGAACGCGTTTTCTTGAACTTTCCTGGATATTCATTGACTCTAATCATTCATTGCTCAAATCCAAGCCCAATCCACAAATTCCGCAAGATCTCCCTTTTCAAGAGACGCAAAGCGAATTTACTACTCGCATGCCTCCCCATCAGTAGCATCACCGTTACACCATGTCACCCAAAGGGACCACGAGGGTCGGGGTGTTGCCCAAGCCTAGATAGAAGCAGTCGAGATGAAGGGGTCGGGTTCGAACCACGGACCGTCCGATTGGTAAGTTCGCCCCTTAGCAACTGAGGCATCCCGAGCTCTTGTAACGCTAGGACGGTGTATTCATCCGGATAGAAATATTACTATCCGGTACCCGAGCGATATAGCAATCGGCGGACGTATCGATAAAAGGCTGAAACAGTAGGTGTCATGATCTGATTGACGCATCAATAAGGTAATAACAAAACTGGTTAATGCGCTGATGCATTGACTTGAAAATTGTACTGGGAGATTTTCATCAAACACGGACGTCAAACTGGAAATCGCTCGCATCACCTTGTGAGTATTCAAGTAGACTAACAGATCTGATTCAGTTTCTGTGAGCTTGACTGAACGTGGAGAATTGCGTGACAGCTCTCGATCGAGAATGCCCACACAACACTACATTCTGACTGCTCCAGGATGTTGCTCCAAGCGAACTGGACGCATTTCGACTGCTGTGTAGAGATAAAATGCCGGGGATGAAAGTATTGCTGGTCATACGAACTGTCCCATACTTCATCAGCTGACCGGACATGCCGCGGCTGACTTCCGAGAACTCCCTATACTCCTTGGAGTACTTGCTTTGACATACTTGGTTGAGTTGAGCCGCCGCCCTGAAATCAACGGAAATCGCTGTACGAACCACAGCGACTCATCATTGCACCTCACTGCGCACGTTCTTTTTTGCATATTAGAGTCCGCGTCTCCATTCAATTCCACGGTTATAAAACCAACCATGCCCGTAAGAAATCGAAAACACAAAACACATCTAGCACGAAAACAACTAATGTAATACGGAACCTACGGGAACCCGGTTTGCATAGAAATTCCAGACAGATTAAAGTGAGGGCAGGGAGGCGAGTGTAGACACAGGAATGGGGGAAACACATATTCATTTGTGTACATCGGACCATAGGCAGAAAGGCCCATTCGAACACAGCCGGTGAACGATACATGCAAGGAAAATAGCATTTTGTTTGGAATGTTAGTTCCCCCGGTGGGCAGGGGTCTACGCCCAAGCGCGGAAAACCGCTCGCCTGGCTGCGAGGCGCTGTGTGGCGATCGAAGCGACAATCATCCCCAAAGTGACCGTTGCGATTGCCGTATAATCAAAGTCCTCTTTGAGCAGATCGTACGTAAGAGACGGAGAAATGCGGGTGCAGAACAAGTCTGAGTAAAATGAAACGAAAGAAAATAAGGTATTATACGAGCAGTCTCGCTAGATTGGCCGGTGAAAAAGCGCCCTGGACAGAGCCCTAGTTCGTAACGAATTGAGTCAATTGCATCACATCAAAGGATGCCTAACTAAAATGATTCGACAAAGCGTCAGATTTGTTAACGATATATTTCGGTGTTAGCCAGTACAAGCAATCCGAGTAGACTAAGCTTGGCGAGAAAGCTTGATCGGGCAAAACGCGACCAAACTAATCCCTCGGTGGCATCCAGATCCCCAAGCCCTCCACAGACCCTGGTCAGTTACTCGATATCTCTCGCAAAGAAGCTTGCCGTACATGTTTGTCTTATGTTGCATTCAAATGAAATGGGCAGGGCAGGATGTGTGGGAACGGCATGTCCGAAGACGAGCGGTGCGAATTGCAGAATATGTACTATACATAGAGTCAGGAACACGACACCCAATCAAAAGCACCATATTCGGCGGTTTCCAAGGTGGAAAATCAAGTACTTTAACAAGGTTGACGAGCGGAAAACGGGCTCTTGCCGATAACTACAACACAACTCACGACTATCTACTAGGCAGTAGTTAGTAGCTAAAATGTAATCACGATGTGACATGATAGCTACGGTCGAGCAGAATGCAGCCATTTCTCTCCTCAAACCCATCACATACATTCCCCGCCAAAGATGACACGAGAAACTCCAGCTTAAAAACCAATGAGGGAGAAGGCGGCTGTGAACAAACGCAATGTTGTTTTACAGATATTGATGTATAAATCTTCCGACCGTACTTTTCGAAGGAGATTACCGCGATACGATAAAGTACTTCATCTATCCTGTCCTGACAGTAAGTGCATCAAACGAATGAATTACACGTGGTTATCTAGTGCTGCCTATAGCTGGCTGCTACAGCCATAAACAGTTTGCATCCCTTCATGTGATTTATTGGGTAATCCTTCTGGTGAAGAGGAAACCCGATCCTAGGCGTTGGTCAGCGTATGAATCTTGAACAGTTCAACGACAAACCTAGAGACCTTGCAGGATTCACAAGGACGTGCGAAGGCTGGAGGTGGATACCCGGATGAATGCCGAACAACGCTGCATCGAATTCGCAGGAACCCTAACGGAGTTGGACTACGCTCTGGCACAAGTTAGCCACAATGGTCTCACCACGTCGCTCATGATAACCGCTGTACCAAAATCCGAATTTCAACATTTTGAGTGATAATCAAGGCTCATTGTGAGATCTGTTGGGACATCGAGGAATACACTCACCCGCAATTCGATCACAACAGGAGACTCACCTGGAACCCAGCGGAATCTCTCGCTCATCACGTTTTTAAGCAACTGAAAGTGCTTCACCAGGCCGTCTCTTGGCTCAGTTGATATGGTATTCGAGATATCGCGATACGTGTATAAACGTAATAAACTACTCATAAGGTTGCTGAGAACACTTCGACTAGTTTTGCCCTACTTGTGCTGACCAGGCAGGAGCAGTCTCCGAAGTTCCATCAACCTTATGTTCTACTTGAGCTGGCTCAGTTGATATGGTATTCGAGATATCGCGATACGTGTATAAACGTAATAAACTACTCATAAGGTTGCTGAGAACACTTCGACTAGTTTTGCCCTACTTGTGCTGACCAGGCAGGAGCAAGCAGTCTCCTTCCATCAACCTTATGTTCTACTTGAGCCCAAATTACATGAAATTCGACTCATCTGCGTATGAATTTGATTTTGAAGGGAGACCCAACTGGAACTCACCTGAGTTGGCGGATGAGAGCGTAAGTCAAAGAGAACAGTGTTCTATCAATCCCCGAAGCTTTTGACCATTGTTTTGCGTTTCATCAGGTCCAACAGATTACATACAGCCGGAGGTCGCATCACCAGACCAAGAATGCATCCACATTAAAGAAGAATTCAACACTAATAGCTGCCCAATGAAGACTGACATGGATCAGCTTTCTTGAAGCAGACCGCCTCCTACAGCATTTCGAATCTTTTTTTGAGTTTCAACTGTGAAGAGTTTTCAGCGAGCTTGTGAGCAGTCTCCTTTATGAAAATATACTGTGATATCTCGAATATGGTGTCAACTGAAACATGAGGCGGCCTGTGTGCTGCACATTCAGTTGGAGGACATCATAAACGAGAGATTCACTTGAGTCTCCCGTGGAAACCAAACTGAGTTGCAAATGAGTGTTTGTCGAAATCAGTGCAATTAGGGTTCAAGTAGAACGTAACGTTGATGGAAACTCAGAGACTGCGTCTGCCAGATGAGCCCGAAACAGAAGAGTTTTCAGCAATCCTATCAGTGAAGTATTACGTCTATTAGGTGCAGTACCGAAATACTCCAAAAGATGCAGAAATGCATTGGACAATCGGCGCAGTATCGTCGATTCGGAGGAAACATCAAGGGTTCAGTACAGCCAGACTTTGGGAGTAGTCAGATGAAGTATGATGGTTGTGTTAGTTGGAAGTTGTTTACTAAACAACAGAGCACACCACGTAGATCGTGTGTTGGGATATCTGATTGACTTTTCATACCGCACAGTCATTCTACTTGCTCCGCTCGCGATCATCCATGCGACTGGAACAGCTGTGCACCTAGCGGTTTCAACCAATCTTTGGATTGAGCCTCCAAGTTCGAAAGTTTCACCCCACAATAGGACAAACTATGCTGCAGTCGCATTCCTGTGACCGAATCAAAATAAATAAGTCAATAATAATCATCCAGCAGTAAAACATTTTCGGTGCCTAGTTGCTGTATCCACCGAGGGCTGACATACTGTCAGGTCGCCCAGACCTAGATAGGAGCAGCTGAGATGGCGTGGTTGGGTTCGAACCACAGAACGTCCTGTCAGTAGGTTTGAGCCTTAACCACAGAGCTATCCCAAGCTCCAAGCAGCTGATGAACCTCGATTAGGAAGCTTGACAGGAACACATGAGTCGCAGTCGAAACTATTGGGCGGAAGGTCGCATGCGCTGTACGGTGGGAGTATGAAGTGTCCGGGTGTACAGCTCACCTAAATATTGAAGATGAGATGGCTCAGTGGTTAAAACGCAAATTTATAAACCAGAAGGTCCGTGGTTCGAACCCAAACTCTACATATCGACCGCTTCTGTCTAGGCTTAGGCAACCTGGCAGTACCTCAGCCCTCGTACCTCCTTCGGGTGGTACGGCAGTTAGGCATCGGAAACGAGGAACGAGCGAACGAGTATTAACACATTTTTATTATTATTACATAAACATAGTTTTCTATCATCTGCTGAGGTGGATAAATCGTAGCTCCATCGATTCACGCACACCTCCCAGCAGACTAACGAAAAGAATGAACCTTTAACCATGTGCAACAATGTTCAAAATTCGGGAGCACTTACCCAAGCCGTAAGCAAACACCAGACTGGTGGACTCAAGTCCCGTAGCTGCTGTGCGAATGGCCCGCACACCCATGATGGTTTGGTTGTAGGAAATCACGGCTTGGTCGGAGAGAGGTAGAACTGGCGTATAAGGAAGTACTCCTTCTTCCCTGTGGGATGAAATGATAGAAGAGAGTAGGATGAGCTAGAACGCCCCCATACATGAGTGAAACATCCTAGCACAGTCCGATAAGTAGACACTCGGTGGACCGTGTCACGCAAATGCTTGTTCAACGTTAAGTTGGTTTTCACGTCCGCGGTTGACCACATGTTCCCGTGTCATCACAAGTACTGGAAAATGAGCCGGAATCGCTAGACTGGTGTTGTTACTTGCCGAACGGTTGTGCAACTCTGTATCGGTCCTTGGCTTACTGCTCCGCTCACTATGGTATATCAAAAGGCATGGTAGCTTCAGACAGTCCCTTATGGAGAGAAAGGAAAACGATTACAACTGTACTAATGGGGTAATCACAGAATGTTCCAAAGCCGTGCCAGAATCTCCGTAAGGGGGCGAGAAGCGTCGAGCTAAAGATGCTCGATACAGATTGGCTGGCATTCTGACCAATCAGGACATGCCTTCGTTTGGTCCGCAGCCCGCACGTGAAGCATCTGTTCGATTGACGTGCTTGTTCGGTTATTAGAGGTGGCTGGAGGCCTCCAAACAACTAGTACATGAAAAGTAGGATGTATGTTACACATGTCGTCCAACTGCCGTCCGGAAAAAAGTCGTTTTGTTTTCCTATCCCAATTAGTGTTGGCGAATTATTCGCGTTGCGATGGCATAGTTCTACGTGGAAAGAAAGCGGACAAGGCTAAAACATTGGGGGGGGGGGATTCCCAGACCCCGAGGGGGATAGAATGTGAATGATCCCACGGATGCGCCGATTGCCATATCTTACCTGGACTGTCCACTGACTGCTGAGCTCGTAGTGAGGGTCAAATTCACCGGTGGTGATTCTCAAATGCGTTTACTTCAGTGCTATTCGTAGATGTGAGCGTCCCGTTCTTGATCAACTCCCCGAAGACAGAGCTTGTTTCCATTATCTAGTCAACACATTAGTAAGTGACTTATTCTTTACGGTTGCTTGCCAGTTAGGAGCAGGCGTGTTGCCGGTATTTGATTCCGATGAGGAATCACTTTCTCGTCTCATTTGAACGGCCACAGTTGCTGAAGGTCTTCAGATAAACACTCAATACAGCCATAGTAATAACCCAAAACACCTCTGAAAGGGCGTCACTCCCTAGTAGAGACTATAGTAGCGTTCTCCTCTATGATCTATCGTGTGACAGTGCTTCCCCCGATAGTAGTGGGAGAAAAGGTCATTTCACAAGTAATTTCAATGCTCCTGTAATCTTCTTTTGACAGGAAAGCGTCAACAGTGTGATCAAAGAGCAAGCATTTCGATAAAACCCAGGAATCCTTAGTGCTATCAGTACAAGGCCTGGAGTGCACCGAGCGAGTATTCTTAAACGAGATAATGAGTACGCTGTGATTCTCGGAACCAACAACAGTTTACTTACATCAACTCCGGAGATAGATCCAATGCCCGACGAGGGTCAAAAAATGTCTTCGGCAGTTCAATCAGAGAACCTTTCTGCAGACCAACTGTTATCCAAACAGGGGAAATAATGAGACAAGACAAGACAACAAAAGTTGTTACAGAGAGCAAGTCATCATCATCGACAGCATGACATCAGTGTTCAAAACCGATGCTTCACTGCCGTAAAAACATGATTTATTTGAAAGCCTTATTGTAAATAAAAGAGTAAAGGTGGACGGGGGGGACTTAGTGCTAAGTTACTACAACCATTCCGAGGTGACTATACTTGCAGACATTCACTCAGGCGATCTGGATAGAAACTGACAACAAGATTGCCACTGACATCGGTTGGCAGCCATATCTTGTAGTGCATCCAACCAGGCACAGTGAGAATCACGCGGTCCCTATCCTGGAAGGCGAATAGCACCGACAGCACCCAAGCGTTTAGCGCTGATGCTACAGCTCTCTGAAGCGGACAGCATGTGCTAAAAGACCCCGTCTGTCTGCGAATGTTCGGCGCGCCTCGGCGGCAGGCCAGGAGCAACAAGAAAATACGAATAAGTTACAGATAAAAGTAGTGAGGACTGGAGGAGAAACTGGTTATCTAACTACCGAAAACTTGAACAAATACACCAATACAATAGTTCGGGTGGTAAAGTGGAGGGTCGAAACACCGCCAGAGCAGAATGCAAAAAGCTGGTTCTTTGAAAAAGACAGTGCACTGGTCACGTAAATACAGGAAGAAAAAGCCCATTCGTTAGAGCACGTGCAGGTTGGATCGTTTTGGCAAGAGTCCACCTTTTCGGTCAATGGTCACAACTTCGACAACAGGATAACCTCGAAAAACACAACATGAAGGCTGTGTGGGTGTTTCAATTTTCAAAAGGGCGCAGACGTTAAACAGGACGGTGTTCGTAGAATCGGAATCTTCCAGAGATGAGGAAGTAAACTCATGAAACGCCTGAGCATCCTGCTCAATTACGGTATTGTTAAACAAGAGTCGATGAACTCAGCGACCGGTACAGCACATTGAGTTTCCCACTAGGCTTTAGGGAAAGGTTATGAGATAGAAGCGATTTGGCAGGCGCTCACATCCATCTTCTGCCGTGGAACACCTTTGCAGGATCTGTTAAGTGAACAGCACACATGGTACTCCACTCCCCAACCAATCAAAGTGCTCACCAATGCGTGTTTGATTGCCAAAGATTCAAGGGAGAATAAGCGAATTCCTCGAGATTCTGGACCATCCGGGGCAATTTACTGCCCTGGGCTTGCCATCGAGGGAAATGTTGGTAGTTCGGGATGCGTGGATGGTTGGTATTTTGTTCGCTGAGCCTGGCACTGTGTGTTTAGTTACAAACTTTTCACAATCAGTCGAAACGATATCATCAGCGTGCAACAAGTTGGCGTTGAGCACCACCAGTTGTAACTTAATCGGACGATTCAAAATGAACCAACAGATCAAGCGGGATACATTACACGTTAACGGGTGCCGGGTGACAGAAGTGAAGGTCATCCGAGCGCCCTCCAATAAGGATCCGGGCCAACCGACAGGGCCGAACATCCAAACAACCAATCGCAATCAAGGCCACCCCTCGGTCGACGGGAGGCACATAAACACGAACGTGGCGTTAATCAACGCCTTCACAGAGACGCAACACTGACCCGTTATACACTGATGATGTCATTTTGACAGGTGTCAGCGAACAGAACACCAACAATCTAACCCAGGCTTATTGGGGAATCCGAATCTTAACTGTGTTGAAAATGAGACCGGAAAAACTCACAAATGATGCTTTTCGAAGTGATACCACGCTCGGTAAGTGAGACTGCTGCCACACCGGGAGTCGGAGCGGTGCTGAATATATAGGATTGTTGAGTCACTTGTGGAATTAGTGGATTGGATCCAGTCGTATTGCAGATTCCATCCGAGTCAGTTGCACGGAACAATGAGGAGAAGATTGAACGACCACTGTCCACCAGAGACGGTGGGCGATCCTCAGCAAGATGTTCATCCGTACCTGGGCCGTCACCCACATCAGCAACAGAACTCGTCTGATGTGCAGTGCTAGGTGAGTGAGCAAAACTTGGAAGCCAGCCGGTAGGAAATATATTTCGTAGGAAGAGTTGAGCTGGACCGGGAACTGAGTAGGAGGCGCAGACCTCATAACCAGCTGGCGAGTAATTGGTAGGCTCGTAGAGTTCCAAGACAGTGACTTCGTGCCGCAGCGATTTGTGGTTGTAGTAGGTATACTGGATAGAGGAAAAAGAAGATTAGATGGGGGTGATACACGAAGGGAAGCGGTTGAAGGCAACTATCCGCAACGAAGCAGCAATCGATCGCTGTATTTGTTTGATGACCAGTGTGAAATAGTTATTCGTCCTGAGTTGTTTTACCCCTCTGCTTCTAATGCCTTTTCTTCTAAGCAACAGAGACAATTCGTAGCCAGTGTACCCCTTCGAAATGTTTCGTCAATAAAAGCACCTTCCTTGACGTTGGTGAACAGTACGAACCGCTACAGACACCTTCAACCAGCAATTTTGCGTTTGGCAGAAGGGGGTTGCGATAGGGGAGCTCGACCAGGGTTCGAGATGGACCAAGTGGTTAAAGCGCGAATTTACTGACCGGCAGGTCCGTGGTTCGAACCCGACCCCTGTCTTTCGACTCCCCTGTCTAGCCTTGGGCAACCTGGCAGTATCCCAGCCGTGGTGCAACCTTGGGGTAGCATGGCAGCTAGGCGCCGACAGCTGAACGATTTTTTTTGCACAAGCTCAACGAATGATGGTACCACATGGTGGAGTTGAAACTATGGATTGCGTACGAGATCATTTCGAGTTAGCTCAAGTTCAGTATGGGAATTAACTTCAAAACGGGTCGATAACTTACTACAATCCAGTTCTCGGAGTGTACCAGGTTGACCGGCTCACTGCAACGTGCGTTAACTGCGCTGTAGACGATACGGCCGACGACCACATCAATCAAATACACGGCGACACTGTTGGTCTGGCTGGCAACGGATCCACCGGCGGTCACGACGGCGATTAGATTGGGGTTGAGATATTTGTACAAAACACTCCGGTCACCAAGCACACGACCAACGGAATGGATATGTTCTGACATATAGGCATGGAAGAGAGAACACTGATGAACTCTGATGTCATGCTGTCGATGATGATGATGATGATGCACAGCGCACGAGTAAAACAATTCTAGTAGGGTTAGTAAGGGTGTGCTGATAACAGTGGACGAACTTCTACTCGCCTTGTGTGTAAAACGTTTGAAGCGAGTATAGAGAAAATGAAGAACAGATCCCCAATGAGGACCCAAATCAGAAAGGACGATAAACACGCGCACATGAGTGTCAGGGTTTACGGGAAACTGTTGTGTACGTGCATGGATAAGGAACTGTGAAATTTTCAGAGAATCGCGTTTTAGCCGTAAACACCTCTTAGGACTTACCACCGTTGGGACGCGAAGCCGTTGCTACAATGACGTGTGGCGGGTATGGGTTTTGCTCTCCATTCCCGTCTGGTGGCAGGGTGGAGCGAAGTTGCATTCGCCAGACACGCGTGGCCCTGAATGTAACTGGGTCCTCTCTGCCTGGCTGACGCGCTGACGAAAGATGTATGCGGTATCCAGTCAGACGAGCCAGATCAGGCTCTATTGTATACATATAGACAGGTGTGCGAACCCCCACCAGAGCAGTGGCATAACGGGGAGGATAGATGTGAACCTGTTTGGACAAGAAACGAGACGGAGAGGGAATAGGAATACGCAACACAGAAAATACACCCTTGCGACGCACATTAGCTAGCACGGAATGGTAGCGGGGGCGGGGGGCGAGTTGGACAGAGTGGTTAGAGCGCGAATTTACCGACAGGAAGGTCCGTCGTTCGAACCCTACCTATGCCTGTCGACTTCCCCTGTCTACGCTTGGGCGACTTGGCAGTATCCCAGCCCTCGTGCTTCCTTCTGGTGGCATGGCAGTTAGGCACCGAAAGGGTGTTATAGCTGAACGATTTTACGGAATTGTAGACCCCGTAAGGGAGGTTGGCTTCTGAGTTAGTCCTTCACCGCCGAATTGAAGGTTAGTGTGGAGCGTGGTATAGACATCACATCTAGGCGGACAGTATTCTCCCGTCATTCATCAATCACGAGTCTGAACAGGTAAAATGACACTCAGTTGGACACACCGCCTCTGAGTTAGTCAGTTGTTAGATTGTGTTTCTTCAAATTACTTCTGTTACTCCCGCAGTAAGTCTCACTGGATTGGATACGACAGAAGTCGCTGCTTCCCGCTGACCAATTGTAAAAACAGCAACGCCTCAATTCTATTCTCGCTCTGATGTTCTCAAGCTAGTGTTCTCAGCGGAGGAACCAGCAAGGGTGAGCAAAATGTATCAGACGCCCAGAAGCAGGTCTGAAACAATGTAGAGCGTGTTTCATTCAAAGTGCATGCACCCTAAACCTACTGGAATCAGAGTGGCTGCTGGTTCCATATTTTCGACCAATCACATCTCGCCTTGATGATGGACCGGCAAGTGATCCGGTTTTCCGACCAATCGTGTGCGAGCTGCAGGACAGATTTAGTGTAGGATTTCGCCTAATACAGCCTAACCGGAATAGAACATACTCTTGTGTTCCGACATGCCCCTCGCAACTTCAAATTTATCAGTCTCACTCTATCCCCTTGGCGCTTCAGAGAAGTAAACTTGCGTTTTTCAACCGTTTTAGTTATAACTAAGTACCTGCTAACTGTGATGTGACAGTAGAGTCAGTGCATGCATTATCAATGAGAGAAATTTTCGAGACGAATTACGACAGAACTAAAGGCTGCGTGTACAAAACAACTGCAAGGGTAGTCTCAGTTTATGATTGAGAAACTTGGATCCTCCGATCCCCAAAAGCCGATGCAAAGAATAGCAGGCGTTGCAGTGTGAGAGCGCGTACGTGGTGAGATGCACTCAGCAGAGCAGCAAATAACAGTGGCTAGGTTCAGGTGGGTTGGAAAACTGACTACCGAAAGGTGTCACTTCCAGTTCCAAAACACCGGTTACGCAAGCAAAGCTGGGACAGTCTGTGACACGGGGCGAAGTGGAAGCAAACCGAATGCTGTGACGTTTTCCCACCTTCCTGATGCTCCTGACAATTCGCTGAAAACTTTACAGGACATGAAACGCAAACGAGCACACGTAGACCTGGGGCACGTGTTGTCATTCCCTGACGAGACTGCTGAGCCGAAATTTGCCTGACGTGGTTGTAATCTTTCAACTTTAGCGTTCCACCAGTCCTACCTGAGTGCCACTCGGCTGGACGGGAGAGGAACGATACTGCGGCTACTGGAGATCATGCTGATGCGATCTGTGAGTACATGGGGCAGTATAGTATAGGGCGAGCAATGTCGGTCAAATGAGTCCCTCAATTAACTTTTGACTGAGGAGGAAGGAAGTTGTGTAAAAATAGCACAAAGCATTTGCCATCGAATAAAACGATCACATCGTCCGGACCGACAGATCAGATCAAGTTAGAGGGGCGAAATAAGTGTTCTTTCGTGATACAAACGACTGTGTGAGACGAAGCACAATTTGTCCCAGAAACGAACAAAGTAAGGGATTTTGGGTCTCCTTGTAATAACTAAGCCAGCCGCTGAATTAAAAAACGGGTTCATCTGTGGCGCCGCTTGAGTTTATTACTGTTCACGGAAAGCTTATAGCACTTCGCCCAGATCCGGCTAGGGGTTATCGGAAAGCAACGGTAAGGGTTTGCATGATAATCCAGCGGCACAGGAACTTCCACCAACACCGGTAGCCAGCAACACGATGGTTGACGAATTCATACAAGTGACAAAAGCGTCACTAACGAAGACGCCTCATGATGACGCGCATGTGGGACTGTGAGACCTGACGAGGTAAGCAAGGGTTATATCGAGTTATGATTGGCCTCTTCCACAAACGTGACTTGGGATTTTTAGCTCAAACTAATGCCCGTCTGTTGACCCAGAGATGACATTAGGAGAGGGAATTCTAAAGATGCAGACCACGCTGATTAATTGCTATTGTACCTAAACATCGTGGCGGGATACTAACACTGAACGCATCTACAAAGCACACTCGGGAGGAAAAAAATCGTTCAGCTGTAACCCCTTCGCGGTGCCTAGCTGCCATGCCACTGGAAGGAAGCACGATGGCTGTGATAGTGCCAGGTTGCCCAAGCCTAGACAGGGGAAGTCGAGAGGCAGAGGTCGAGTTCGAACCACGGACCTCCCGATCAGTGAATTCGCGCTCTAACCACTTGAGCCATCTCGCCCTCCATTCGGAAGGGAAGGAAGGCTTGAACCACAGATTATCACCAGAGTTGCAGGGATGCGGAAGATATCCACGTAATTCGCGCTTAACCACTTGAGCCATCTCGCCCTCCATTCGGAAGGGAAGGAAGGCTTGAACCACAGATTATCACCAGAGTTGCAGGGATGCGGAAGATATCCACGTCCAGCTACAGTGTCCGGGATACGGAGATAGAAAACGGGAGAGAAATTTCTCCAAATTCCGTGTGCTACTGGCATTGTTTGAAAATTGACGATCATCAGGATTTTTCACACAGAGAAAAAGACACTGCTTCCAAAGTGTTCTGTAAGTTGTCAAGTGATGGAATCATAGATGAATTCGCCCGAGACTCGATCCAAAGATGCTTTCAGTGAGGGGCACGCGACTCTGTGCAAAATCAGTTCGAAACAAAAACTGCGTCCATAGCGAGAATTGACCTTCACAGTGTCCGCTTGCACAGAAAATGGCGATCAAATGAAACGGTTTGGAGTGCCGTGTATGCTGAATGTAGATCGCTTGTTCGCAGTGTGCTGAAGAAATATCGTGAAGGACAGTTTGTCTTCAACGACAGATAGTCAGCAAAAGAACAGCCGCCCAACGAACTATACATTGCAAAAAACACCAATAGTTGCTGGTCAAAATCAGCAACTTGCCTGTGATTCCTTGTCCAGCAAAAGAACCGGCCGTATATAATCTGTGCGCTCGGTCACCGGCCCGGGAAACATCACTGCCTGTATGACGTCTGAGTCGATATGGAACACATCATTAGGGAACTTCTCCAATGGAACTCCGGTACTCGGATTGAACGAATATAGCATAGGCAGGTTCGTCTTCTGGTAACAGAAAAATGAGAACACATGCAAGGTGAAACTGAGAGTGCTCGCGGGTTTGTGGTAATCATAAAGGGTTCCGGTATTCTGACTAACATCAATTAGATTACACGATGTCGGGATTGCTTTGATTACGTTTTCTACGATGCATGATACTATACAATATTCAGTCACCATCGATATCAAACTTCAAAGCAACTTGCGCGTCTTAAAATAAGATACGGTGTTGAAATCGCCAGGGACTGTGTTGTTCTGAGAGCCGGGCGTTCGTCCTCCAAGTCGGAAACAATAAAAAAACAACGGCAAAAAGCGTGCTCTACTCAAAGGTCTTCTCTGTTTGGGGGTGCTGTCTTTTGTAAGGAGTACTGTACGTAGTAAGTTGTACAGCGCAGGCGACGAAAGTAATACAACTCCGAGAGTAGATAAGTGAGTTACGTATTACCGTAAAACAATCGGAGTCGCGAAGACCAACAGAAACAACAGCTGAATGGTATTTATCGATGTGTGATCGACGTTCAAGAGGTTGTTCAAACGGTCAGTGTGTGACATTCACACGGGCCTGAAAAAGCACGAAGAAGGATGCCGTGCGGAAGCCTGTGTCAGTCCATACCAACTGTGTTCTCAGGTCTCCAGAACCCCGAACCATAGCGAGACCAACAGACGTCAGCTTCAACCAAATCATGTGATCGCCACACTCTGGCCAATCAAACTGCCTCTTGAAGGTTGAGCGCATACCGATGGATTGTCAACATTTGTTTCCGATGCCCTTTGTTAATCCGATTACTTAGATCCCGGCGCAGGTCACCCATAGTGATCCAGACGCGGTAATGTGTAAAAGATGTACACGTGTCTTGTGGAAACAAATTGCGTTACTTCTTCTCTGGATCCCATCGTTCTTACGTCTCTCCATGCTGGATAGTTCGGGAAACTTGGATGACTGCGTCCAATCGGGGAGACTACCTACTCTCAGCCATAGAATGCCCTGCTCCAACCCCAAACTATCATTTTTCACCTTGCAGCAACTTGACGGAAATTTCGAATGTAATCGTATGAATAACAACAATAATAATAGAAGTGGCTATAATAAAGAACAGTAATAAAGGCTATGCGCCATCGATCGACCACACCCGGCAAAGGCCGAACAACCGAAAAGGACGCTTTTACTCAGCTATTACAGGTGTCCAACTCGGAGCAATAAAAAAACCACAATAGCAATAAAAGCGGTCAACCGCAGCAAAAGCGAACAGACCCAGGAAATTACCTTTGACCGAAGAAGCAGTGTGGTTATTGGAGGCAATGGGAAGTGTGCTGTATTACGCTGTTGATACAAGGTTAGCTTTCCGTTTGCGAGCAGACCGGCCGAGGGGACCAAGTGTTCCCAAACCACGCGTCCTTTCTCACTCTCTAGGCCAAACAACTGTGGGAGGGTAAAGAGATAGAGAGAGAGAGAGAGAGATGAAAAGGTATACTATGCAACGAAAGATTTTGTTCACCGACAGTGAACCAAGATCAGCAGTTCACCCAAGCTCCCCCACTCATGTCACCCAATGACCAGCTATCGGAGAGGTCCGATTCCACTGAATGCCCCGAATCTCCACTAGATGCTGACCAGACAGACAACGCCCCCACAATATGCAGCGCGTCACAGCATCGTACCAAAGCCAGACCGCGTGCGTCAGCATTGGATTAAGTTCAGACAGTTCCTCCAATAAATAGCTAAAGACCGCTGTATTTTTGCACCCACACGCACTCACGCTCTCGCACTCGCTCGTTCAGAATACGGCTGTTGTGTTTCCTTCTGCGAGTTTTTTTCCGGCACTAGGTACTGGAGTGAGTCAGCAGTTAGATACAACAGATTGGCGAATCAGCAGATATAACACCTGCTCACATCAGTCTGACCGTCTCGGAGTTATCAAAAGACTGGCCAGCATGTTTCCGATGACTGCATCCATTAGCGTGGTGACCGTCGTGGACGTGCGTTCCGAGAAGAGAAACCAAATTACGGAAGGTAACAAGACAGGAGCGCTGCGGGCACTTTCAGTGCATCTGGCCTCAATTCCAGTTAGGGCACTGACAGTGGATCTATGGATGGTGAATACAGTAGGGTAGGCTGAAAGCGACTGAAAGCGAACAGACCCACAGAAATCCCAACTCTTCACCCTTCAGGAATAGCAAAGAGAACAATGGTGCTCAGAGCACAGCATAGTCCAACGACATCCCTCAACTGATTTCAACTGAGGGTTTGAAGATATCGAACAAGTGTAGCGAATGTGCCAACTTACTTTCCCAACTGACGTCGCCACGACAATCATCTTGTGCAAATTGAAATTGTCCCGAGTTAAAAATGCATTCATCATACTGCGAATAGGAGGGCTCTCCGCTGGGTCCAAACCATCCACAGTTTCATTTGCCATGAACAACGGGTGTCGAAGTCGCGGAGGCATAGTGGCGACGGGCAATGCTGCGTCCTCGTACGCGGGTTGGAAGGATCTGGTAGGCAGGCCGCGACGATCAGAAAATGACGACATGAATGACGATGGAGAACGTATGAATGCGGATATGGTTTGAGGAAATCCAGCGGCGCAATCTCGGATAAACACCTGAAACATACAAAATATAAAAAATGGACAGTTCAGGATAACACATCTATCTGGGAATGGAAACTAGTAGGCGAAAACCGCTAAACCAGGTAGAGTGATTAATATTGTCATTCGTATCGAATGTTGTAGACCACAGTTTTCCTAATGCTTTCTTAATACCCTGAACCCCAGTCTGGATAGCCGCTTGATAGCCTGACGCGCTCAGTCAAAACCAGAAAGCCAGTGAACGCGTGGGTCAGCTGATCTATTGAACACTGATGCGTATGGGCGTGTCATGTGCAGCCGAAAACGATCTGTTTATAAAGCTCGCGTGAAAAGTTCCAGCCTGGTCAAAAAATGATAAAGAACTCATCTGTTAAGGGCAAGTGAAGGAAAACCAATTAAACCTGTCCCAATGAAAATGGTTATTCCATTAGTTGTTGTGTAGTCCAGTTATGTTCGGAGCTGGTTCTCCTATTACCTTACCTAAGAGCGCAAGTGGTAATGAAAGCGAAATGCCTTCGTCAGAGAAACCCGTAGATTTCTCGAGCCCTACGTAGTAGCCCCAACCCATGGAGGATGTAAAACGCGAATTATGATTTTTTTGGAATGGGTACCTAAAACATGTTACATGAGAAGAAGCAGAAGGATGGTGCTGATGAATATTCCCTCGCCATAATCTCAGCCCTACATACCATCGGTTGTGAAGTCGACTTTTTGGTTCACCAACCGATGATCATCTCTTATCGATGGATCTGCTTTCCTCAATCCGCTAAGGCTGTTATTGGACTGGGACTTCCTAAGGTCGCAGTCAGTGACTTGTGTTTGCTTGCCATTGTGGGCTTCCTGCGTACTTATGACACTTTTATGCGTGGCACATGGCGTTGAAGGTATATTTTTGCCATTTAATCTCACACCAGACCCAGTATGACGGACACTTTGTGCCTAATGTGCGAGTCTTGACTGTGATAGCGCCTATCGCGCCTTCAAGAGCATTCCACATTGTTTGTCCCTTCTTCGGTTGTTGATCTTTAGACGCCTGTTTCCATACCAAATCTATACATACTTTGGGATTCACCTCATCATCACACTGGAACTGCTCTTGGCATGATTTCCAATGAGACGTTTCTCTCTTTTCTCCCATATTCTCCTGTTACTCTTTCGCATTCATCGCTTGCATTCACTTTTTATGTTTGTGGCCATGCTCCTCAAAAATAAATGATAACAGTCGAAGTGCACCGATAACAGACAAACAGGAAAATACAATTGCTTATCGTCTCGAAAACGTAAGTTGCAGAGTTCGGTCACCAACCGGAAGAGCACGGGTCCGAATCTTCCCGAGGGTTGCTTTCAATGAACAGCACTTTGACCACTTGAAAGTGACTCATCTATCACGCTTTCTTCCAGATGAATTGCTAATATATAGTGAAAGGAGCAGAATGATTGGTTTGTCTAAAAAACTCACTGATGGAAGAGAACCACTCAGATTTCCACTAACGGAGTGCCAGTGTGGTTCTCTAGAACAATATTTTACAGGAGTCACGCTTCCCGCGAGAAGAAAATTGTTCAGTTGTGGCACCCTTTCGGTGCCTAACTTCCATGCCACTCGAAAGAATCACGACGGCTGGGACACTGTCAAGTTGCCCAAGCCTAGACAGGGGAAGTCGAGAGGCAGAGGTCAGGTTCAAACCACGGACCTTCCGGTCAATCTGGGCAATCTCGCCCACATTCCGACTCCTTGTGAGCGATTTGCAGAGCTTGAGGACGGACGATGTCGAAAGAATAGAAAAACAAATTTCGAACCCCACAGGAGAGGAAGGCTTTCTGGTATTAAGGTGTCTCACAAAATCGTCCGCTGGGAGTGGGGGGAGGAACCCGCTAAACGTCGAGAGAAGTGGTGGGCGGCTAAAGTGTCACAACGTGACGAACATAAGTTTGTGAGAGAAAGGAAACCGAGAGGAGAACTCACCCATAACTGCGCGAGTTGAGTGTGCAGACGCTTCGCGAACATTTCGAAAATATTGCCTGAAACGAAATGTAAGAAGTGGTGAAGGACGAAAACGAACATACGTTCAAAGCGGATACAATATTGCCACCCTTCACAAGTGTCTCAATAGAAAAGAAGTCTTCTCAATGGGCTCCATACTTGACCTTTTCACAGCTAGATAGATCGTCTTGTGAATTAGATACGCTATCAGATTAATGATACTTCTATCAAGCGGCTAGGCGATTAGGAATGCGTTACTTGCTAGAACTCCGTGATGGTGCGCGATTCCGGCTACCAGTTCGGAATGTGGCACAAGTACGGTAATTTGCGCAAGGCACGGAGGGCTTTTACAGGAGGTTTCATTTTAGGCCGATGTTTACCTGAACAGCTGTGGCAGCATTCGAACTGGTCAGTTGCTTAGCACTATACTGGTAGTTGGGGGCGAGATGGCCCAAGTGGTTAAGGGCGCGAATTTACTGACCGGAAGGTTCGTGGTTCGAACCCGACCTCTGTCTCTCGACTTCCCCTGTCCAGGCTTGGACAACCTGGCAGCATCCCAGCCCTCGTGCTTCCTTCGGGTGGCATGGCAGCTAGGCACCGAAAGGGCGCTACAGCTGAACGATTATATTTATTTATTTTATTTATTTATACTGGTGGTTAAGTGAAACTAGAATGAGGGTGGTGAACCATTCACTATCCGAACGAAAGCCAGTTGCCCCAGGTATTTACTACTCTCTCAGTCCGCGCGTTGCTTAAGAATGCCATGAGAAATCACGTGCTTTTTGCTGCCACTCGTGCAACTTTGCCAGACTAGTCCTTGGTGGTTTGGAACAACAGAATCCTGTGAAAACCCAGTCAGTAGTGTACCAATGTGATTAAAGAGCCTCAAGTTTCATTCATCTTCATTGAAATTACCTCCCTCGGAAAATCAAAGCAAGCGGAGAGAAGCTTGCCCTAACAACGAACAAGATCGAACAAGTAAAACACCAAGTCCATTGTAAATGGTATAAAACTGTTGCAGTCATTTAAAAAACAAACGTGATAGGCTCCAATAGAGGGAAATCGGTCGTGGACTGTCAAAGCGTTTTCAGCAACCATATGAGCAATGCGTTGCGTCTAAACAAAGTTCCCAGCTTCGACTCACTTGTGGAATGACCGAATTCCTCTTCCATTTTGGCTTGAGATTCAGAAACCGGCAAGTCGACCATCTCAACAGCTACGATGTCAGCTAGTGACTCATCGCGCAACCACTGTTGTTGACCTACAAGAGAAAGAGATTGGAAAACTCGGTGACACGGAAAAGGCTCAAAACAAATCTGAAATTCGCCCGGTATCCTGCAACTTCGGCATTCATGGTGTTGAGTTACTACACTGAATAGCGTTTTCACATATGAGCAATGCGTTGCGTCTAAACAAAGTTCCCAGCTTCGACTCACTTGTGGAATGACCGAATTCCTCTTCCATTTTGGCTTGAGATTCAGAAACCGGCAAGTCGACCATCTCAACAGCTACGATGTCAGCTAGTGACTCATCGCGCAACCACTGTTGTTGACCTACAAGAGAAAGAGATTGGAAAACTCGGTGACACGGAAAAGGCTCAAAACAAATCTGAAATTCGCCCGGTATCCTGCAACTTCGGCATTCATGGTGTTGAGTTACTACACTGAATTCTCTCCGCACGGGCATCCGTGGGGAAAAATCGTAGTGAACATTATCGAATTATCGACTCTCAGAGGGAGGTAGAGGTGACTTTTGATCCCTCACAGTAGTTCTATATCATACATACAAATGAGATCATCATCATCATCACCATCATCACCATCATCGACAGCATGACATCGGTGTTCAAAACCGTTGCTTCACTGCCGTACAACCATGATTTAGTTGAAAGCCTTATTGTAAATAAAAGAGTAAAGGTGGACAGAGAAGGATTTTAACGCAAGCTTACCACAATCATTCTGAGATGCTTACACCTCCAGAAATTCACTCAGGCGATCTGGATAGAAACTGACAACAAGAAAACCACTGACATCGGTTGGCAGCCATATCTTGTAGTGTCCCCAACCAGGTGCAGTGAGGATCACGCGGTCCTCATCCTGGAAGGCTAGTAGCACTGACAGCACCCAAGTGTTTCGTGATCACCATCATACTCCTCTGCCAAGTCAAGGGTTGGCCACTTCTCTGTTTACGCCACTCTGATTCGGCCATGGGAACAGCATTCTATTCGGCAAACGATGGTTCGGCATACGCAACACATATCCCGACCAACGCAGCTTTTGGCGCTGGACACATTCTTCAATGAAAGTACCCGCACAACCGAAAGCGCGCTTTCTAACTGCCTCGTTAAGGATTCGCCGACACCAACTCACATGGGCTATGATTCTGAGACAACGAGTGTCGAACCCCTTAAGACGTCTCAGTTCCGCTGTTCGAATAGGCCAAGTCTCACAGCCATACAAAACAGCCTGCACTGTAGCTTTATATACACTTCCCTTGAGATTTCTGGTGCAGCACATTCAGTTGCCTCGAAGCATCACAAACGAGAGATTCAGCTGGGTTCCAGGTGATTCTCCCGAAAAACCGAATTCGTTTGCAAATGAGTATATCTCGCTAATTTCGTGCAATTTGGGTTCAAGTAGAACATAAGGTTGACGGAAACCCGGGGACTGGGCCTACATGATGAGCCCCAAAAAGAGCAAAACCGGTCGTGGACTGTCGACGGATTTTCAGCAACCTTGTGAGTAGAACATTAAGAAATAAAAACATGTTACTCCTCGTTTCAGAGGGGTTTGGTAAACAATCGGTGGATTTATTGCTGGGTAACGTTTCGCTTTTGACACAAAAGCTTCGTCAGGCCAAGTGAGTAAGTAAGTAGGTTGGTTGGGTTTTAAGGCAGTCAGAGAGCCAATCCGTGAGATTCTTTATGACTAACGACGAAATCAGTGCTGGGTGTTCAGTCTGATGTCCCTGTTTGTTGATTGGTGAGGATGACTAAGCTTTACGATAGATCGGTTAGGGGGGGTTCGTCTTTATGATGAACGCGGATTTTTTCGCCCTGCTTCTTCAGTCTAGGACACCTTAATAGAAAATTCCTCTTCGGGTCGTTCACAGATTTCGTTCACCTGTGTTCGTCCAAGGGTGCTGGGACAATTAGTTTGAGGATGGGGGTGGGGTGGTTAATTGGATCCAACGCTACTTGGATTTTTGTACTTTTAGACCCAGGCGATTTCGCTGATAACTGCACATCGCCTCGTGTCATCTCGGCTGATCTAAGACCGCTCTCCACACGTTTGCAAGTTCTACCCTCGATTCTATTCACACTGAGATGCTTGGCGATTTCCACCGATCAGATAGCCCCCACCAACGTGTCTCAACTATGGAAAAATCGCTCACGATGGCTGATCCGAAACGTCAACATGATTCGATGTTTCCATGCGTACAGAACATCCATTGCTCGTATTGTACATGATGTATCAAGCTGAGGTGACCTCAGAAACAAAAAAAGGTGTTTCGGCATTAGTTACAAGATGTCTCAACAGGTGCCACGATACGACTCCCAACGTCAATCGGAATCGAAAAAAGTCTCCATTGTCAAACTGATAATCGATCAGCTTGTTGACGAACAAAGAAGACGATGATGGAGACTTCATCCTGTGAGGGAGAAAGTGTGATTAACTCGCACTTAGACAAGACAGAGCACCACACACACAGCAATCCACATCACGTGTTGACTGGCCCCTCGGGAAACTGCTTCACCGATGGAAGTCTTATTGATCATGTGAATTTTATTCTTCCTCTGAGTTACTTATGGGTTGCTAGTAGTATGTGGAGAGCCAAGGATTTCAATCATCCCTTCATGTAACTAGAACCGGTCAATAGTGAAAAGCTGAGAAGCATTGTACAGCGCTTAGATCCTTATTGGAATTCGCCAGCAGTGCGTGGCTCCAGGAAGTTTGGAACCCGTGACCTTCCGGCTAGTGATCTGAACACCTTACCAACTACTAGCGGCTGATCAGCAACACCATTAACTCGCGCCTAGACAGGATATAGAGCCACGTAAGTTTTAATTACGCGATCCACATACGTGTTCACATGCATTAACTGGCTCCTCGAGTAGCATTAAATTTCCGAAATCTCATCAACTACCAACGGAAGGACTAATGATATGTCGCGTTACCTTGTTGCACATTTACTAACTACGCGTTCCGCGCGTTCCCAAACCATCTGCCGGTGACCTGATTCAAACACATCGTTCATGGTTGGAACGGCGTACTCAATTCAGTAGACAGATAAATTTAAACGGAACATCTGTCGTGACCCGTTTGAGGTAGCAGTGTGTGTGTGTGTGTGTGATAGCCTTGGTGGTGGTCATCAGCATTCCCTAAGGAGGGCCGGAAAATGCTCAAAATCAGGACGATCGATTATCGTTGGACCATCGGATCAATTCTGTATAGTTCGGCTACATTCAGTAGAATCGTTATGTCAGCTACCAACTGAACACCTCGACCACAACGGCACAGTTAAAAAAAGTCGATATTGGAAAGCTATGTTCATGGAAAAGCAAAATGCTCCTTAGAAAGGAGAAAAGGGAACGATCAGCCGGTGTAGGCATTTAAATTCTGTCCGTTCATGTGGATCCCACATAAATTAGCATATCTAAGAGTGGAATAGATAGAAGCCAACGTCGTCAACCAGTGTAATGGTCAATAGGCCAGTTCACCGCAAACGATACATGTGTAAGTCACTCACTAAACTAAATATGAAACATCAAAAAAGAGGAGTATCTACCACGAAAACAGGAGACCAATCACAATGGTTTGGAACTCAATAAGTGTTTATGAGGTCCTCTGAATTCCTCATCACCACCGTGACAGTGGCGCTTCTCCCTGGGGTGCAACACTGCCTTTAAAAAAAACGTCATGCAGTGAAACGACAACAAAGTGAGGGAGAGAGGAAACGTCTGGTAGTATCTTCAATGGTTATCACGACCGTGACAAGTAACACAGTGTAGCGCTTATCTTTCGGGTTACTTACGAGCCGAACCAAGTCCGACCCAGTCCAAGAATAGCTCATTGATGTGAGACGGTAAACCAGTCGTCTTCATGATATCAGCCGTTCCTCGTTTTCAGCAAAGCTGGATCGATGAAACATCTCGCCATCTGGGAAAGTATCGGGCGACAGTCGCTCCAGAGGGTTACTTCCTCCAACGAGACTAGATGTCCTTATTCCATTGAGCAATTTACGACGCGATTCCTCCTGTCCGGTGATGCAAACAGCTGTCACTTCATCTGGATCCCAGCTTCTGTGGGGTCATAATTCGTCCAAAATTTACTACTTGACAAGTGATTTCATTCAGCTGTGGCACCCTATCAGGGCATAACTCTCAAGTAACCCGAAGGAAGCACGACGGCTAGGATACTATTTCAGGGCCTAACTCTCAAGCCACCCAAAAGAAGCACGACGGCTAGGATACTACCAGGTTCCCAAAGCCTGAACAGGGGAAGTCGAGTGGTCGGGTTCGAACCGCGCACATTCCGGTTAGTAAATTCGTGCTTGATCAAAAGACAACAGTATGCAAAAAACCGATAAGCTTCCAGATCACTGACTTTTCCATTGGGATCGGCAAGGAGGAAGATAACACTACAAGACATGGCTGTCAACCGATGTCAGTGGCGTTCTTGTTGTCAGTTTCTATCCAGACCACCTGAGCGAATGTCTGGAGGTGTAAGCACCTCGAAATGATTGTGGTAAGCTAGCACTAAGTCTCTTCCCTGTCCACCTTTACTCTCTCCCTTACAATAAAGCTTTCAAATAAATCATGGTTGCACGCCAGTGAAGCATCGGTGTTGAACACTGATGTCATGCCGTCGATGATGATTTCATCGCAGCAGGCCTTATCGTCAGCCTAGAACCGGAACTTATGAAAACCATGAATTTAATATAAAAAAGGCACATCAACCTAACGATAACTCTTACCTCACCACTACAGAAATAAGTGGTATGGGAGTCACGAAGACCGTGGCTGACTTCAGTGAGCTGTGAAAGTGACAAGTTTACTGCCCGTCTGGCATGTTTTTTTTCTTGGTAAGGGATTAAAATGCGCTCCGTTGGATTCGTACTGACCACTCGACTATTTCTATATATTGGTTTGGCAAGAACTACGCGCGCCCGTGAATGAATTTGTGCTATTGGAAGCTAGGTTTGTGACTCGAACCCAACCCTGGGTCTGCATTAGTTTCTGTGTGAGATCCGAGAATCGGAGAGCTATGTGCTCGGAGAGAAAGCATGACTGAGCATGTAGAACCTCTGGGTTAGGCCTCCTGTTTCACGACAATCATATCACTTCCCACCGGAAAATCGGCGGAGTTGGCGATCACCGTGTCACAAATCATCGTCCATTGCGTACAAGGGACTGGCAACGATCACCCAAGACATTACGTCAATAATGACGTATCAGTTACATCAGTCATCGATTCCAGTGCGTGGCTATCCACCCGTATCTCCCCCAGATCATCGGCGAACGAAACTGTGGCGGCTCTAACCATTGTATAACATGTGGGAGAGAGTCTACAACTGAACATGATGATCACACCTCTTAGCAATTTTCTTTTCTTGTAAACTGGCAGGTGAGTGAGTCAAGATGGTTGACGAGCTACCAGATTCGGAAATTTTGACAGAAAATGGCAAGAACGGAACCTGAGTGTTAACTAGTCACGCTTTAGACCGGTAACCTTAACATCAGGCTGATGGGTTCGAGGGGGCAGTTGTGATGAAAAACTTAGTGAGCCGTGTGAACTTGAGATAGCTCTGTGGTTTGGACATCAAACTGTTGACATTGAATTCTCGACCGTTCCGACCTAACCTTGGACACCTCAACAGTATAGCAGTCCTCGAGCCGCCTTCAAGTAACGTGCACCGAAAAGATGCCACAAAGTTTGTGCCATGAAGACATGATAGAAAGCAGGCTATATTTGGCGAAATACACTCATTTGCAAACGAATTCGGTTTTTCGAGAGAATCACCTGGAACCCAGCTGAATCTCTCGTTTGTGATGTTTCCAGGCATTACGAATATACATGTATCGCGATATCTCGAATATGGTAGCGACCGAAACATAAGGCAGCCTGGTGAAGCACATCCAGTTGCCTCGAAACATCACAAACGAGAGATTCAGCTGGGTTTCAGGTGAGTCTCTCGCAAAACCAAATTAGTTTGCAAATGAGTGTATTTCGCCAAATATAGCCTACTTTCTATCATGTCTTCATGGCACAAACTTTGTGGCATCTTTTCGGTGCACGTTATTTGAAGGCGGATCGAGGACTGCTTTACTGTTGAGGTGTCCAAGGTTAGGTCGGAACGGTCGAGAATTCAATGTGCTGTGTTTGTTCTCACAGACGGAAGAGGATGGTTATTCCTCGCAAGTACTGTGCAAAAACGACGTGAATGACGTATGTGGCTCGACAATGAAGTTTAGCAAAACTGACTGGCAAACTGTTTCAGTGGATCGGGATTCCTGGATAAGACACTGACAGCAAACAAGGCTTTCTCAACGAAGATATCGATTTTAATGCCTGGCTGTGGTGATTTCCCCTGGATCAGATAACAATGACAACTTCGTGTGTCTGGTGATGCCCAGGCCACTTGACTGCTTCCACATTCTCTGGGTCGTCCGACAATGAATCCAGAACAGCTGCATCAAACTTACTTTTGATACACGGCTGGATAAACAAACCGAATCGAAATGAACAACAAAAAGCACCGGAAACTTTATTAGCCCACATTCATACATACAAAAAAACAGCAGCAACGTACCATTCTGTCGAACGAGTTGGATAGCATGATCCTCGGTCTGCACGAGCAAACGAAAGCTCAGAGCACCAGTAGAATCAATGAATATCATGGCACGTATCTGAAATGAAAACGGCAGATAGACAAAACGTGTTAGTTCTCAGGAATTAGGTGAAGGACAATGAACAAAACGACCAACGGTCTGCAAACCACTACGTCCAACCCCAGGTTCCAACAGCAAGCCAGTCAGTAAGAGGCCTTCACTGGTATCGTGTTAGCCCAGACAGTATCCAAAGACATCCCAGATTGAAGGCCCAAAAATACTCGAGCACAGTGTAAGCGCGAGCAGGAAACAACGTGAGTAGAGATATCGAGATTATACAATTCCACTTTTCGGACAATAATCACCGAGCCGTGACCCGTCTTCGGTGCCTAGCTGCCCTGCCACCCGAAGGAAGCAATAGTGCTGCGATACTGCCAGGTTGCCCAAGCCTAGACAGGCGAAGTCGAGGCAAAGGCCGGGTTCGAACCACGGATCTTCCGGTCAGTAAATTCGCACTCTAACGGCTTGAGCCATCTCTTGACGGTACTTCACATATTGTTGAATGTTGAAAACTTGAAATACCCGTTGTTGACATACTATTTGTCCAGAAATGGAAGGCGACATGGCTCAGTGGTTAGAGTGCGAATTTACTGACCGGAAGGTCCGTAAGGTTCGAACTCAACCTCTGCCTCTCAACTTGCCCCGTCTATGCTTGGACAGCTTGGCAGTATACCAGCCCTCGTGCTTCCCTCTGGTGTCATGACAGCTAAGTACCGAAAGGGGGCTACAGCTGAACGACTTTGTTTCTGATAAACGTAGAAGATTATATCCGAAGTATATATGTTGCATTCGTTAATCAGTACCTGCGTGATAAGAATGTTATAACAGAAATTTCTACTGGTGATTGGAGCCAATCTACGCTAAGAAGCCGAAAGGCCATTTGAGTGCGTGGATGTAAAATTTGTGTGCGTAAAGAGAGACGAAACGTTTTGTACAGTAGACAGGAAAAGAGTGAGAACGTTCGCTCCCGGAACAGGTTGTTCTATGTGACATGATCCATTGTCATCAGGTAGCCGAACATCCGTTTATGGACTATGTGCAATAAACCCAGTCGTGGTAACGCGGGGCTCTTCGTAGTCAGATCGCCGCAGTTCGGCCCACAAGAACTACACACACGCAAGTGGATGATACTGTGATTCATGCTTGTTGTACTTTAGAGTTTGGCTACAAGCACGATATTCTATTGTCAACAGCAGCACATGACTATGATAATGCTAGCACCCCATTGAGGGTGTATCGATCGGGCAGCTGGGGAAATCGATCGACCTTGGCTCATTTAAATCACCTCCCCGTTGGATCGGCAGCAAAAGGCATTATTTCCACAACAAGTCCTGATTGCACGAACAAGAAGATGTTGCTTATTCGCGTATGCCTGCTAGCTGTGTTGGGCATACAGCACTGGCATTACACGTACGGACATCTAAGTTTGGAATGCAGTCTGAGCAAGCTGGACCAATATGTACAGACCATTCAACTTGCCGATTCTGGCGACGGGTTCACTGAAATGGTTCCGCCTAAGCCGGAAACGCAACACATATGGCCCAAAGAAATGGCCGTGTTACACTACGAATATTCACGTCCGACAGTACCGAACAAAGTGTGGTTGTTCAAAACGTTAGGAGGCAAATCATTTCGATTGGACAAGAAAATTGAGGGCTTTCCTTGTTTCGATTTGGGTGAGATAGAGCAACGCGAGCCGTATGAACACACCTTCTATCTAAGAACCAACCTGGATGGGATGTACATATTCGCTGAATATGATACCAATTGGAAGTTATTAAAAAACTTGGAAACACACAAAGGAAAAAATGAGATTTACACACCCCTCAAAACGTTTGTTGTGCTTGAGTTGGAACCTGCAAAGATTGGACTAATGCTTCGCATGTCCTTTTACGAACCGTTCCCCAATTGTACGGGGTCGGATGAAAGAATCAGCTGGGTCATGGGAAGTTTGAAGGATCTCCGTAGTGCTTCCAGTATGCGTATAGACAGATATTTGTTGGATGGAGAGATAAGACACAAGGTGATCAGAACACACTGTCAAGCATTGTCCAATGAATCCAGCCCGGTATACATATCAACCTATTACAATATCGATCGTGCGCGCATAACACCGAGTGGATCACCATTGGATCAGGAACGACCTTGGGCGATCAAAGCAGAACTGGGTGTCGGATTGGAGTCGGATGACCGAGTGATCGTTCCGCTACCGGACCCATTCGGTTCTGTCACACGAATCAGGCTGAGTGGCATTCAGCTAGAGAGCAAGGATGAGATTAAAGTGATCCTAAAGACTAGGTCAGAAGAGGGAATGACTGAAATATTCTGGGGTCCAGGAAATACGGAAATCCCATTTCCTGTTGAGTACATCACACCCTATGTGTTTGCTGACGTGCGTCTAAATAGGACCATATTTCACAAGATATGCGCCCGAAACGCGCCCCAACTGGACTGGATGTTGATCGAACCCATGTACGGCCGAATACGCACATCAACTGGTGTGATGATTGCGATGAACGTCAGGGATAGTTGGACCAATGCGCAGTTTCTCACTGAACTGATCATAGAAAAGCGGGGAGCTGGCGTAAGTTTGTTTGGTTAACGATGTTGCGTTGCACCAGTTTTTTGCCGGGTAATCGTTTGGATGCGAAACATCTGGTGAAGAATTCTTCCATCTTGCACATGATGGCTTCATAACGCAAGCCTGGTCGAACCGCCACAATATCCAGGCCGACTGCCATTTAGAGATTCCTCGTACGCACAAGCACCAACCTTCACTCTGGCAGTGGAGTCACCGGTTGCAGTAAATGTCTGACAAATATTAGTCAGCAATCGTTCAACTGTAACATGCTTTCGGGGCCTAGCCTCTATGCTATCCGAAAGAAATCATGAGGACTGAAACTATTCCAGGTTACCCGAGCCTAGAAAGGAGCAGCCGAAAAATATAAAGGTTGGGTTCGAACCAAGGATCATCTGGTCAGCAAGTTCACGAAGTGACTACTGAACTATCTCGCTAAATGTTCTGGGGCTTCTTGACTTAGCATTCTAACACTCGTGAAGCTATGAAATATAGTTCAGTTAAAAAACCAAGTGGAGTGCACTTTGGGATGTCTAACGTAAGATCCGAAGTTGACTGGCCAGACTGGTTGTTCAGTGAAATGAAGTCATTTATCCTGAAGTATGTCGAAAACAACTATTGTACTTTCAACTTGTACAAAAATTCCTGATTTATCAGACGGATCTGTCTGTGACCAGCACACTTAGAACAAAATTGAACTCTCTTAGGGACGTACACAACAACCCGACAGACAGAGTGAGTGTGCGAAAAAATCAAACTGAAATGTAAGGTGACGAGCTCACCGGCGGTAACCAGGCAGTGTCACAGAACGATTGGGTTAATATATTCTTGCTTTTTGTGTTTAAAGATGATTCAATCTCACACTGGATCTCCTTCTTACAACTAGGGGGATGTCGACCAACATCCGCGGGAGTCATTAATCAGCGGAGCGATTGGCTGTGCAGATCCACCAAGAAGCAGTTAACCGATCCTAAGAGACGAGCGATAGGGAGTAGATGAGAAAGGATCAAAAACCAGCAGTACGGCTGGTTGGCACCCGAGGGCCACCTTGAGCCATTCTGATGAAAGCGATCTAAGCGTTTAGATAAAGAAGCCTTTTTGAGTGCGAAACTCAAGAGAAACCTCAGCGTGAGATCAATATGGAATAAAGAGAGGCAACCACCAATGGGAGTTGCATAACCTTCATTTGTAAAATGATGCATCTTGACGGATTACTATCTGTAATGTACTATACTAGGAACGTCGGCCTTCGTTTACATTTCAGCCCACTTAAATCACAGTGTAACCTCTAGTGTGTTTAACGTGATTCTACTCGAGGCTGAGGGTATTCTGCACAGGAAACTCTCACAGCTACTACTGCCGTTGTTATTGATTGCCTGGTGTGGCTTCAGCCGAGAAACTGACCTGAGTCGCATGCGTGATTTTTATTCCCTTCTTTTGACCACAGCGACGCGGAATGCGAATTGACCGTGTAACGCTGGAACAACCAAAACACCCGGAAGATGTGAACGAAATGCTTCGAGCTGTTCACGAAGAACATCCACTACCTGGAGCGACACCCGTGATCAGTAGGGCGTGTCTGACCAAAGTACATGGTTATGCTACTTCGAGTTACTACGTAAATTTGGAAGATCCAGCCTATTGTATTCGGCAGGATAAGAAGTTAAATCAGGTATACAAAAAGACCAGATCGATACGAAGTGCTTTGACCGGCTACTCCATCCAATTACTCTATGATGATTTTGGTGATGAACTGGTCAATTCAACAGGTGTGGTGACCGGACACATACAAATGGTTGCCTTCTCTCGACGTTCACGTGAAGTATCCGATCCGAAAATGGACTGCCCGAAACAGACCACACAGGACGGTGAGACAATGCGGATGGGATTTTTGGTGGATCGTGTCAAAGATCGTGTGCAATTCCTGTCCCGTTGGGAAGATCGCTGGGTTCAGTACCTGGGGAACACCAATGATGTGTCTTATGTGCCGGTGCAGGAAAAAGAACGGTGGGTATCCACACCACGCGTCTGTCCACCAGAACGGACGGAGGTGGATTTTGTGTACGATTTGAATACACGCAGTTTGCGCGTGGCAACGAATGACACGAATGAATTGGTCCTCAATACCACATTGAAGAGACATCCCATGTGGCTTGGCATTGAAGTAAGTTGTCAGCGTGAGGCAGTGCACGATAAGAGAAAGTACTGTTTCTCTCTTTCTCCATGTAAGTGAGGGTCGGCACACAGTGAAAATGAACAGTTTCGAACACTATGCACACTGGAAGCGGAGATGTAACCCTTCCGCGGTTTCATGAATGCTTGTTGGATTGGTCTATGCAGATTCCCCAAGTAGATGTTAAGAAATATCACGGTATATGTAGGATAGTTAGCCAGGACTGCCAGTGTAACCAATCAGAAAAACCGCTATACCACCAACTGACCGACTGCCCTATGCCTCTTGTCCACTCAACCAGATGTTCGTCGATGAGAACACCTCTCATTGTATCGGCTGCTTCCTTCATGTGCAAATCGATCGTCGTGCTATTCGTCACAATCGCCCGAGCAAATGGCCTGTTGTAGACACGGCTGTGAATAATTGGCACCAAATTCACTACCCAAGACAGGCCAATTCGAAAGCCCTGTACAATGCATGGGTTGAAGTGAGTCAGACGTGTCAGAGACGTGTCGCACTTACACCCAGTCCCAAGAATTTACAAAGAAGAATTTTGGAACTTACAAGAAAATTGGCTAATCCACTCGGTATATCGGTGAGTGATGGCGCAATAATGATGACGATGATGATACATTGACAAGCAGTTTACTGCTTCTTCGGGAACCATTGTCAATGATGTTTTCCCCACACTATAGGTGGCAATGGTGGGAGCTGGGGCTTACTGCCCACCGGGACAATATATGCCGTATGGAACACCCGCTGTTTGCGTCGGATGTCCACCAGGCACACAATCACGACTGCTTACGGAAAATACCAGCTTTCCGGCGTATGTTTGCCAACAGTGCCCAAGGGGAACCTATCAGGATATCCCAGGACAAACTGAATGTAATCCGTGTCCTAAGGTAAGTGTGTCATTGGCTCCCCAGTTTATTAGAGCTCAGTTTTTATGGACATTTGCTAATGAAATGCACGCATTACTCCTCAGCTGAGGTGCCGGTTGACTGAAAACGAAACGCAGTTTCATCCTTGAAGTTATCACATTTTGCGTACCGTAGCTGTTTGCTGCAAATTGATGAGGTGTCGACACAACACAAGGATTCGGTCACAAAGTGGTAAGAGAGGTTGGCATTTTCTAAAAAATCTCCACACTGGCGTTCTCTAGTAGAGCTCAGCGGATTGCCACGGATCGCAAAAAACCGTCCAGCTCTAGCACCCCTTCAGTGTCTAGCTGCCATGCTACACGAAGGGGGATACTGCCAGGTTGCCCAAGTCTAGACAGAGTGGCAGAGGTCGGGTTCAAACTACGGACCTTCCGGTCAGTAAATTCGCGCTCTAACAAGTGAGCCACTAGGAAGGCCGGAGACGTTTTTATTGGCTGGGGGCAGC